TAAGAAAAAAAAAAAAACCACCCTATTCCACGGGGGAAAAAATAAGTGGCACAAAAAAAAATGGATTCCACCGGGGGGCCCCATATAACAACCGGGTTAAAGGGCGCGGGAAAAAAACCCCTCGGGGTACGCTAAACCCGACCCAAGGTTAAAGGGGGGCCCCCGCAAAGGAACCCGGGTCCTGCGCTCTGCTGCTGGGGGGGTCCCGACCCCCCCAGCAGCAGAGCGCACGGACCCAGCTCTCTTCGCCGCCGCCCCCCCTCCACCCTCGGCTCGTGTTTGAGCGTACGCTCGAGGCGGTTGTGTTCACCGCGCCTTCGAGCCCGGTTGGCAGTAGGAGGACCCGCCGGTGAGACCACTGATTTTGGTGCCGACCATAAATTCTCACCACTGGAACACATGTGGACATGTACTTTACAGCTACAGCTGCTGTCTGTACAGAGATGCCAGCACCCCCCACTGCCACAGGCAGAGCGCTCCTGCTGGGGGGCGGGGGTCCGGACCCCCCCAGCAGCAGAGCGCTGCTGCTGGGGGGGGAGGTCGTCAGTACTGCTACGCATATGTAATCGCCCAGAATGCACAGATCGGCCATGTTATGTAAATACGCGCCCGCGATCCATAGTGCGTCGGCCAGACGTCGCGTATTTCGGTGTCGTGCCCGATCGGGGTGTGCCTCTCAAGGCGCGCTACGCCCCACGTACTACGCACACGCATTCCGGATTCGAGTGAGAAGTGGCGGCCGACGGGGGTTACGCCTCACGCATTACGCATACGTTTTACGCATTCGCACGCCCAAGGTGTCAGAGAGGGCCTACGCACCACGTACTACGCACACGCATTCCGGATTCGAGTGAGAAGTGGCGGCCGACGGGGGTTACGCCTCACGCATTACGCATACGTTTTACGCATTCGCACGCCCAAGGTGTCGGAGAGGGCCTCCGCACCACGTACTACGCACACGCATTCCGGATTCGAGTGAGAAGTGGCGGCCGGCGGGGGTTACGCCTCACGCATTACGCATACGTTTTACGCATTCGCACGCCCAAGGTGTCGGAGAGGGCCTCCGCACCACGTACTACGCACACGCATTCCGGATTCGAGTGAGAAGTGGTGGCCGACGGGGGTTACGCCTCACGTATTACGCATACGTTTTACGCATTCGCACGCCCAAGGTGTCGGAGAGGGCCTCCGCACCACGTACTACGCACACGCATTCCGGATTCGAGTGAGAAGTGGTGGCTGACGGGGGTTACGCCTCACGTATTACGCATACGTTTTACGCATTCGCACGCCCAAGGTGTCCGAGAGGGCCTCCGCACCACGTACTACGCACACGCATTCCGGATTCGAGTGAGAAGTGGTGGCTGACGGGGGTTACGCCTCACGTATTACGCATACGTTTTACGCATTCGCACGCCCAAGGTGTCGGAGAGGGCCTCCGCACCACGTACTACGCACACGCATTCCGGATTCGAGTGAGAAGTGGCGGCCGACGGGGGTTACGCCTCACGCATTACGCATACGTATTACGCATTTGCACGCCCAAGGTGTCGGAGAGGGCTTGCGCACCACGTATTACGCATACGTATTACGCATCCCCCCCCCAACCCCCTTTATGTGCGCGCACTGGCGCTGCCGCTCGGGCTGCCATAAGTTGGCTGGGGTTGTATGTGCGCTGGTAACAACAGACTCGGGCATAGCCCTCGACAGCCACCCCCTAACCCCCCTCCCCCCCCCCCTTATGTGCGCGCACTGGCGCTGCCGCTCGGGCTGCCATAAGTTGGCTAGGGTTGTATGTGCGCTGGTAACAACAGACTCGGGCATAGCCCTCGACAGCCACCCCCTAACCCCCCACCCACCCCCCTTTATGTGCGCGCACTGGCGCTGCCGCTCGGGCTGCCATAAGTTGGCGCTGCCGCTAGGGCTGCTGCATAATCATGAGCCTGTCTCCAAACACCTCTCCGACGCGCTCGACTATAGTCCAAATTGGACGGTGGACTATATGTCGATTGGCGGCCATTTGCTCAGGCGTCAAAATGCTGAGCTCGTACGCTGGCAGCTCCGCAGAGGTTGAGGACGGCGGTGGCGGCGCGGTGAGATCGCTGGTGTCCCTGCCCGCCTCCCTGCGGGCGTAGAAGAGCGCCGCCTCCTCGGCGGTGGCGAACCAGCCGAGGGTGACCTGCTTGCCGCCAATCATCACCTTCAGCTGGTACTTCTTGCTGCCTTGCTGCTTCGGGCGGCAGCAGACGCCTTTATAGCCGGTGTTGCTGCTGCTACTGGCGGTGAGGGTGAGGCCCTCCCTCTCCGCCTGCCGTATCGCCTCGGCGCCAGCGGGAGTGGGAGCGGGGCGAGGCTGCAGCAGCGTGGCGGCGTCGGCGCGGCCGTACTCTGACCGAGCGTAGGCGGTGGCCGCCTCTTCGACGGTGTCGAAGTAGCCGAGGTGGACACCCTTGCCGCCAGCATTCGCCTCCGCCTTGAACTTCTTGCTGCTGCGGCTGAAGGTCACGTTCTTGTAGCCAGTCGCACTGTCCTTGCGGACGGCTGGGATCAGCGCGATGCGTTCTGTCGCTGCGGTCCGCGGCGGGGCCATCATGCAACGGACGCACGTAGATTCGCAAAACTTTGACAATTGGGATTCGTATTCGATTGAAACAAGGCTGGCGTGGCCTGAAATCATTTGCCAGGCAATCATCTGTTTTGGCGAGCACAAAAAGAAAAATACGTAATGCGTAATGCGTATGCGTGATACGTAAGGGGGGGGGGGGGGCTTGGGGGCGCGCGCGGGCGAGATACATAATCCGTAAACGTGAGACGTGGTACGTAAGGCACCCGCCGCGCGGGCCATTGCACCGTCCCCCGGGCAAAGCTTTGCGGTGAAAAGGACGTATGCGTAATGCGGATACGTGATACGTCGAAGACGCCCCGCCCCCCCGCGGGCCGCGGCGCACCGGCGGAGATCCATAATCCGTATACGTGACACGTGGTACGTATGAGGCAACCACAGGGCCATCGCACCGTCACGCACGCGATGATTACGTGTATGTATTGACGTTTTCTATTTATTTTTGAAGGGGGAGGCGTTCGACGGGCTGCGTAATGCGACGCATTTGGACTGGCAAGTGACGTACACGCACCGAGTTTACGTATTCCCGAGAGGGCGTAATGTGATGCGTATGCATATGGGCCTCCGTGCATATGCGTAGCAGTACTGACGACGATTGGCTGGGGGGGGGGGTCGGCCATGGCTTTAGATGTGCAGGGGGGGACCGAGCCAGTGTGCGGCCGCTCAAATGGGGGACATGGTGTGTGTGGGCAATGTGCGGCCGCTCCATCACTAACAACCAAACTCTCTGCACTCTGGTCTCTCTCAGTCTCTCACACACTCGAGAGAAGAACGAGACACCATAAAATAAACCGAGTTTTGCGCGCAAACAACAGAAGGTCCTGCACGCCCGCGGCGCGTCACGCGTGTTAAAGCCGTAGCGTCCGTCTCACACCTCGAGCTCAACCTCAAGCGGCATCTCTGCGAGCTGCATTTCGCCTCGCCTCGCCTTGCGGCGCGCTCCCCCGGCCCGCGCGCCCCTCTTGCTCGGCTGCTTGCCGAGGATGGCCTCGTTCTTGGCCCTCCGCGCGGCGTTCGCCTCGGCCTCGGTTCGGATGCCGCTCACGTCGAAGGTGTAGAGGAGCTTGTACAGGAGTACCTTGCAGACGTCTTGGATGAGGAACCACACCAGCGTGAAGGCCCACGTGAAGAGCACGTGCTCGAGGCCGAGGCCGATCAGCTGGCTGTCGGGCTCCTGCAGCGCGAGCGAGTCGGGATGCATGTTTGTGGCGACGAGCCCTCTCGAATCGAAAGGGACGAGAGCGTGGGATGCAATGGAGGGCGGGGGCAGAGTGCGCGTCTCATCTCTCGAGTGCAACGCCCGGGGAGACCTGCACCCGGCGTCTAGGGGCTGGCTCCTGCGCGTCGAGATCTGCCCTCTCGTCGTACCGCTCGGCCGGGAAGGGCCACCTGACCGCGAGGCCGGTCGAGGCGAGGGTGGCGACCGAGGCGGCGGCGAAGACGATCTTGGAGGGGGCGCGCGTGAAGAAGAAGGACTGGGTGCGCGCGGCGAAGATCGTCCACCAGTCGCTCAGCGAGATCTTGAGGTACATCATGGCAACCACCTAACAATCAATGTCCCCCTCAACAGGCGCACGCACATAGGACCACCTGAGGGAGTGAGGAGCAGGGCTGGAGGAGGGAGAGGCGGCCATGAGGCAAGGAGGCGGCCCTGCGGGGAGGGAGGGGGGGGGGGGGGGGGGGGACCTTCCCGTACAAAAGCGACTCGCGCACGCCCATCCGGCGGATGGGCGAGCCCGGGTCCTCGGAGGAGAGGGCCCAGTGCAGCAGCAGCAGCGACGAGCCGCACGCGACGAGGCCGATCCAGCCCGCGACGAGGAAGAGGGCGGGGAGGTTCCAGCGCTCGGGGAGGGGCGAGGGGACGACGTGGTCGTACGCGATCGAGATGATGGTCGCGTCGTTGAGGATCACGATCACCACGAGGGCGACCACGGGCAAGTTGAAGGTGGAGGGGATCGCGAGCCCGACCTGTGTGCGAGGGGACCTGTGTGCGCGCAGACGGCGGTGCGGGTGTGCGGGGTGCTTCCACAAGTGCGCTCGAGGGTCGCAGGGCCGGGAGAAGAGGGTGGGTGTGGGCACGAGCGGGCAAGCGGGCTGCAGCGGGACAAGCGGCCGGCAGGTGTGCGGCGGAGGGGGGGGTGCGGCAAGGTGCGCGGCGCTGGCGGGCCTCCGCGTCGCTCATGCGGAAGCCGTAGCTGCACTGGACGCCGCCGCAGGTGGTGGAGTCGTCGGTTCCGCTGCCAAAGTCGCCGATGTCGCTGTAGCTGCATTGGACGGCGCTGCAGGCGGAGTCGCCGCCGCCGGGTCCGCTGCCAAGGTCGGCGGTGGGGAGGGGGTAGACGTTAGGGTGGCCGGGCAGCAGCTGGTGCGCGGCGTCGTACTGCTGGGGGTGGAAGGCGAAGACGGCGACGAAGAAGAAGAGGAGCAGCTGGAAGGTGCACGCGACGCGGTAGATGACATAGTTCTTCATCCGCTGGAAGATGCAGCGCGCAATCACGATCGCGTCGACGATGACCGACAGGCCCGGCTCGGTGAGGACGAGGTCGGACGCCGCGCGCGCCGCGTCGGTCGCGCCCTCCACCGCGATGCCCACGTCGGCCTTCTTGAGGGCGGGCGCGTCGTTGACGCCGTCGCCAGTCATACCCACCGAGTGGCCGCGCTGGCGCAGCGCCTCGACGATGAGGAACTTGTGCTCGGGGAAGACCTGCGCGAACCCGTCGCTCTTTTCGATCATCGCGCCGTAGTCGCGGCCGAGCGTGCGTGGCACCTGCGGGAAGAGTCGCGGGCAGGTCAGTCACGGCACACGTTGTGCATGTTGGGCGCACCGCCACAGCCTCGCAAACACTGCACCCCTCTCCTCCCTCCCCTCTCTCCCCTCGGTGCGCCGAGGACCGTGTCTGGTGTTTGCGAGGCGACTCGGAGGTGTGTGTCTGGGAGGCGTGCAGGGGTAAGCGGCACCTCCTCGCCCGGCAAGATGGTCGGCAGGCTGTCCGACGCGCCAATCTCGTCGCCCATGCCCAGGGCGCGCGCCGTCTCGCGCGCGATGGCACCGTGGTCGCCGGTAATCATTTTGACGACGACGCCCTGCTGCATCGCGCGCTCGATCGTCCGCTTCGTGTCTGGCCTCGGCGGGTCGAGGAAGGTGAGCATCCCGACCATCTCCATCCCGCACCCCTCGGGCCTCCTCGCGACGGCGAGCGCGCGGATGCCGCGCTGCGCCAGCTCCTCCACCTTCGCGGCGAAGACGGCGCCGATGGAGGAGCGGTTGGCTTCGTCGCACAGCCGGAGGACCACGTCGGGCGCCCCCTTGACGACGTCGAAGACGCCACCGTCTGGGCCGCGCAGCGTCGCCTCGGTGCGGCGCAGCTTCGGGTCGAACGGTGTGAAGTCGAGCTGCTCGTGCCTGTCGAGGCTCGCGGTGTCGAGGCACTCTGCCCCCAGGACGAGCGTGTCGAGCGCGTCCTTGGGAGGCTCCTTCCAGCGGGTGGCGAGGGCGGCGAGGGCGAGGATGGCCGCGTCGTCTGCGCCCTTTGCGTACGAGAGCACCTCCTGCAGCACCATCTTGTTGAGGGTGAGTGTTCCCGTCTTGTCGGAGCAGAGGACGGTCATTCCGGCGAGCTGCTCGATCGACGCGAGCCGCGCGACGATCGCCTTCTTCGCGGCGAGGAGGCGCGAGCCGAGTGCCATCGTCGCCGTGCAGACCACCTGCATCGCGATCGGGATGGAGGTGTGAAGAGGAAGGTGTGAAGAGGAAGGTGTGAAGAGGAGGTGTGAAGAGACCACCTGCATCGCGATGGGGATGGAGGCGACGAGCAGCACGGCGCCGAACGAGACGGCGGGCCAGACCCCGTAGCCCTCTCCGTCGAAGGTGAGGGAGAGGTAGGTGACGGCGGCGGTGACGAGGAGGGAGGAGAAGAGGAGGAGCGCGCGCGTGATGCGCAGGATCACCTTTTGGAAGTTGCCCACGTCGTGCGTCGACCCGATCAGCGCCGCCGTCTTGCCGAAGAATGTGTTTACGCCCGTGTGCGCCACCAGCCCCTCCGTCTCGCCAGACACGATCGTCGAGCCCATCTTGACCAGGCTTCCCTCGCCGAGGGAGACAGGGAGCGACTCGCCAGTCAGCGCCGCCTGGTCTACCTGGACCTGCATCCCGCGACCCAAGAGGATGTCGGCGGGCACGTTTGCGCCGGCGGCGAGGGCGACACGGTCTCCCGGGACGAGTTGGGAGGCGTCTGCCTTGCGCCACGCGCCTGCCCGCTTGACCTGCGCCTCGGGCTTGAGAGACGCCTGGCGGCGGGGCGAGGGAGGGCGCGGGTTGGAGAGCACAGGGGCGGCGCGGGGAGAGGAGGAGGGGGGGTGGGGGAGAGGTCAGCTCTTGTGCGCACCTTGAGGGCGGCGACGGCGTCGCCGGCGCGCATGTCCTCGAAGAAGCCGACGAAGCCGTTGAGGAGGAGCAGCGCGGTGAGGGTGCTCATGTCGGGCCACTCCTGCACGGCGCGCAGAGTATGCGGTGTCTCTGGGCTCTCTGGCGCAGGCGTCGGAGGAGAGACGGCGTCGCTCTCTCTGTGGGCGATCGCAGGGAGGGAGACTGGCAATGTGGAGGGGAGGGTCGCGGCGGAGCCGAGAGTATTGAGGTGCCGGGCGCGTGCGCACGGCGGGGTGGGAGGTGCGGCGGGCGGCGGGCGGCAGGCGGCGGCGGCGGCGGCGGGCGGCGGGCCGGCGGCGGTGGTGGCGGCGGCGGCGGCGGCGCCTGCAGCAGGCCCTCGATGATGATGGCAATAATGATGGTGCCGGGCATGATGCCGGTGAAGTGAGACAGGAATATACGCCACTTGGGCGTGCGCAGGTCCGGCAGCTCGTTCCGCCCATGCTGCAGCAGCCTGCGCGCCGCCTCCTCCTCAGAGAGCCCGTCTTCGCCCGTCTGGAGGTCGAGCCGGTGCTTCAGAGCCGAGTCCTCCGAGGCGGTCTGGAGGTCCTCTGGCTCGTCAGCCTCGTCAGCGGGAGCCTGGTTGTCCCGGTCGAGCAGCGGTGGCTTGCACATTCCGACGGCGACGATCTCGCACAGCGGCGCAAAAACGCAGCACCCCTGGGCACAGAATCTACACCCGGCGCTGTTCACATAAACGCACAACTCCGGGCGCTGTTCACAGCCTTGTTATGAGAAGAAAATACCTGAGTGTGTGAGTGTGAAAGAAAATACGTCCTATGGCGCTATGCGCTGTCTGTGAGAGGTTGAGGCGCGAGCCCTGGAGGCCTGCACCCCACTCACAGTTATTTTTATGGTGTTGCTCGGGGCATAGCAGCCCATAACATGTTATGGGTGTTATGGGTGTTATCGTGTTATGGGGCCCGGCCCCGTAACACCCATAACACCCATAACATGTTATGGGCTGCTATGAGAGAGCCGTCTCGGATCCACGGTGTTATGGCCCGAGAGGCCACACCGAACTGCTCGCCGCTGGAATTTTTGCTTCGCGCGCTGCCGCGCGCGCGCGCGAGGTTCGGCATCGATCGCCAAATATTTTCTCTTTCAAGTTAAACTCAATCACATCAACCTGCCTCCTGAGCCTGAGCGATGGCTTCAGATTGCTCAATCAAGACTTCCCCTCCCCCCCCCTTCACGCAATTTGCTTCCCGTTTCTAACTCGTACTCTAGCACACATAGTTGAAGCCGGGAATCCTCTTGAAGTCGGAGACGCGCAGGTCAAGTGACGAGGGCTTCTGGCTCTTGAACATCCTCATCCGGTAGGCCATGGTTGGCTGGTAGTAGCTACGCGGCGCGGGGCGGGCGCTCCGAAAGAAGAATTTTACCGTTCCGGGATACGCGCGGCGGGGCTCCAAAAGAAAAATCCGTGGGACACATAACAGCTGTTATGAGGTTGTTATGCTGGCTGTCATAACAACCAGTGGGAGGTGTTATGAGTGTTATGAGGTGTTATGAGGTGTTATGGGGTGTTATGAGCAGCCAGCCATAACAGCCATAACACCTGTTATGGCCGCTCCCTCAAAACCTTGTCTGGGGTCAATTGAGGCCCTGGGGATGGGGTGAGACTACCCGCGGGCCTAGAAGGCCCTCGCGCAGGGGGGTGGGACATTGAGACCGGTCATTCACACACATAAACGCACCGCCCCGGGCCCGAAATCGCACAGAGACAGTCACGCAACACGGGGTCCCAGGGAAGGCGGGCACGCGAGCAAAACCCCTATCATCCCGCGCGCAAGACGCCGACGCTCGGAGGCCGCACCGGTCAGGCGCGGCGCAGCCGGAGAGGCGGAGAGAGAGGGAGGCGCTCAATATAAACGCACAACCCCCCGGGCCCGAAATCGCACAGAGACAGTCACATTTCGAGCCTTTTTTGTTCTGCTGAATTGGAACGCGCGAAAGCGCCGGCTTTCGAACCTCGGCGCCCGCCCTCTTTCTGGCCGCGTCCCTCCCCTGTCCTCTCGACTGCACTCATCTTTTACATACATAATTTATATTGCGTACCTACGCTATCTCACCTCCGGTCCTCGCTCGTCGCGCAGTATAGGCTCCTCCACGCCGCGACGCTCGCGGCGCCGACCACGAGCTCTAGCGTCAGCAGCCTGACGTCGACCGCCTGGCGCGCGAGCACCGCGCCCGCGAGCGCGAGGAGGACGCGCGTCGACGCAAAGTCCACCGACGCGCGCGCGACGCAGGCGAGGGCGTTGGCGTAGCCGAGCGACGGCAGCACGGCGGTGGGGTCCCAAGCGTTGGTCACCGCGGCGCCGACGATCCACGCGCTCGCGACCGCCGACCCCTCCGCCACCCAGCCCTCCCCCCCTCCCGCGGCGAGGACGTCGACGCACACGAACGCAGAGCTGTACGACGCAACCACGTCGCCGACGACGAGCTGAAAGTCGTCGATCCGCGGCGGCCACGTCCGCGGCGGCCGCCTCCACCACGGCGTCTCTTCCTCCTCCACCTCCGCCGCCTCCACCTCCGCCTCCGCCGCCTCGAGGCCGCTTCCAAACGCGAGCGCGTCGAGGGCGGACACGACGAAGAAGTCGCTGTGGCGGCCGCCGCGCGAGCCGCCCGCCTCGGCCACCGAATGCAGCAGCGTGTAGAGGCCCAGCAAAACGAAGTGGCCCCCGAACTCGAGCAGCTCGAGCGGCCCGACCAGCTCGGCGACCACGCGCGGCAGCAGCGGCGCCATGGTCGCCGTCTGGCCCACCAGCACCGCGAGCAGGGTGCGGAAGGTGGTCACGTCGCGGAAGAAGACAAGCGCCTGCTCGAGATGCGCCGAGATGCGCCGAGATGCGCCGAGATGCGCCGAGATGCGCCGAGATTGTCCGAGAAGGCCGCCTCCTCGCGCGGCAGCCCCTCCATCACCGGTGTCGGCGGCCGCCGCGTTGGCGGCGGCCGCGTCAGCAGCGGCCGCCGGGGCCGCGGCGTCTGCGCGCGCCGTCATCTGCCTAGATGGATGCATCATGCACCCAACGTGAAGCACCCAACGTGAAGCACGAGTCATGAGAAGCGGGCTAGAGGGCGAGATCGCTCGTGCGCCGTGAGATTGTGCATCTGCATGAGAGTGGCCTGGGTGTGTGGGCTCTACACGCTGCGCAAATTTCGCCGGGTAAACGATCACAGCGTAAAGGCCACAGACACGCATGCGACGGGAGGAGCCTCGACCGCCGCACCTTCTCCGACGATCAGGACCGCCGCCCATTCTCCCGCCTCGTCGCGATGCAGCGGCTTTGTGACATGCACGTGAAGCGGCTCCCCGCTCGCCAAGGGGCAGTCGTGCGCGATGTAGGCGGCGGCACGCCGCTTCTGGCGCGAGGCAGCCGCCTCTGGGCGAGCCGCAGACTCATTCCTCGGGCGGGGCTGGCATTGCGACGCACTACAAAATTGCAGCACACGTCGTAACCGCCGGCCGAAGGTCCCAGGTACTCGATGATCGAGCCGTTTGGGGAGGCTAGCGCAATGCGCCAGCCGTGGCTCACCCCCAGATCAAGGCCAGGCGGAGGGACGAAGGATGCCTCAATCTCGAGCCGCGGCCAGTGACCGCCCAGTGACACGCTCGGAAAAGAAAAAAGTCGATCGCGTCCGGTTGAAGGGTTGGGCTCACGAATTCTTTTCCCGTGCCTAGTGTCGTGCGTGGGACCTCGTAAAATTCTTTTCCAGGTCTGGTTGCCGGTGTTCGTAAAAGTGGCGTTTACCCGGATAGCGCCCGCGGACAGCGCCACTTCCCAGTCACGCTCGGAAAAAAAAGTCGAAGCATGGAATTCTTTTCCAATTCTTGTTGCCGCCGGCTCCCGATCCACCGCTGCCGGCTCACGATCCGCAGCCGCCGGCTCCCGATCCACCGCTGCCGGCTCACGAACCACCGCTGCCGCCGGCTCCCGATCCACCGCTGCCGCCGGGCAGCACGCTGTCTGAGCCGCCGCCGCATCCCGGCCCACCGCCACCGCCGCTGCCGCCGCCGCCGAGCCTCCTCGGCACGCTCTCGGCGCTCTCGCTCGCTGCGAGCACCGGCGTCGGCCTGGTCGCACAGAATGGCATCAACACGAACCTTCGGCGGCACGCGCTGCCCGATCCGTTCGTCACGGCGTGCGCCTCCTTCACCGTCGGCCTGCTCACCATCTCGGCGCTGGCTGCCGCCGAGGCGGCGGCGATGGGCGGCGGCTCGCGGTCGGCGGCCGCCGCCGCGCTGCGCGGCGCGCCCTGGTACGCCTTCACGGGCGGCCTGCTCGGGCCGTGCTACGTCGTCGGCGCCGTCCTGCTCTCGCGCGAGCTCGGCTTTGCAACCTTCCAACTGTGCGCGACGCTCGGCCAGCTCGTCGCCGCGCTGCTCGTCGACGCGGCCGGCTTCCTCCGGCTTCGCAAGCGGCGGCCGACGCGCTGGCAGCTCCTCCGCCCTCGCCCCGCTCGCCGCCCTCGAGCCCTCTCCAAACCGCCTCCGACCCGCGCGCAGGAAGCTCGCCGCCCTCGCGCTGCTCGCCTGCGGCACAGGCCTCACCGCGGGACGCGTCTCCGCCGACGCCGAGTGGTGGGCGCTGCTGCTGCTCTGCCTCGGCGCCGCCGGCGCGGGCACCATCTTCCCGCTGCAGGCGTGCGTCAACGACGTGCTCCGCTCGCACCTCGGCACGCCCTTCCGCGCGACGGCCGTCTCGTTCGCCGTCGGCGCCGTCGCGCTCGCCGCCGTCTCCGCCGTGGCGGTCGGCGCGCGCGGCCAGGGCATCGCCGTGCGGGGGGGCGATTTGGGGGATGCGGGTGGGCGGTGGAGGGGCGCGCTCTTCACCGCCCGCATCGCGTGAGCAGGCGAGGCCTGGATGTGGACGGGAGGGCTGTGCGGCGCGGCGGCGGTGGCGGGGATGGTGGTCGGCGTGCCCCGGGTCGGCGCCGCCGCCTACTTCGCCGCCTTCCTCTGCGCACAGCTGAGCACCGCCCTCCTCTTTGACAGCGTCGGCGCCTTTGGCTTCCCGACCATCGCACCGTCCGCCCGCCGCGCCGCCGGCGTCTCGCTCGCCGTCGCCGCGGCGGCAGCCTACCAGCTGCCCGCGCCCCGCTGCGCCGCACCCGGCCGAGACGCGGGCGCGGCGCGGCGGTCGGCGGCGCGCCGCGCCTCCTTCGTCGCGGGCGGCGCGGCGGGGCGCGAGGTGTGGCTGGCCGCCCTGCTCGGGTGGAGGAGGAGGAGGAGCCGGCGCGCGTGCCGCCGCCGCGAGGAGGAGGGGGTGGAGGAGGCGGAATGAGCGCGGCGGTGAGAGCCGGTAGTCTGTTGAATGTTGAACTCTTAGCATCAGGATAATCACAACGCCCGGAAATTTGGCAGGTTGGGTGGAGATATAGGTTTTACGGAAGGAGTCTTTGACTCAAAGGGAAAAAAGAAACCCAACACGCTGACCGGGCTGTGCCTTAGCACACAAAGAGGGTGACTATACCTCTACAGTGTTCAGCTCGCGCACCTATAGGGCTCTCTAGGCGACGAGCCTATTTCTCCCAGGGTGCCTATAGAGACTTGGAGCACTTGGAGTGCAGCCAGCAACCACACATCCACGCACGTGAGCGGCCTTCTTTTTCAGTCCGCGCCCTTGTCGTGCCAGTAAAAGAAAGAAAGAAAGAAAACAGACACGCCAAACGAGGGATGGGACGAGGACAGGGTCCCTTCACGAGCAGGATTTTGGAAGGACGATCAGGGGGACAGGTGGGGCTCTCCTGCTCCTGACAAGGGACACGACAGGCTCGCAGCGCGGTGCGCGGTGGACTCCCACATCCACTGGCGGTCTCATCTCAGTCTAGCGACCTGCCTCCAGCTTGTCGCTGGCAGTCTCTCCTACCACAGGCACACTGACACAGGGGTGGCAGGGGCTTGGCGGCGGCACGTGTGCTGTGAGAGCGGCGGGAGAATTCTTTTTCCTCTCCCGCTCACATCTGAGACCGGTAAGCGGCAATGAGAGAGCCGCTTGTGCACTGCTCCCGCAGCTACGAGGAGCTCATGTGCGGCGACGCGGCGATGTCGACATCGCCCCTCGTCGCGAGCCACAAGCTCCAGACTCCCACGCTGCAGCAGGGCGCCTCGTCGTCGAGCGGCTCGCAAGGCAGCTCGTCAGCGGCCTCTGCCGCGCCGTCGGACCTCTCGGGGGCGCCGACGGGGATGCGCGGGGCCCTCGGCGCGGCTCATCCCGGCGACCTCGAGTCTCCCGCCGCGCCGCGCAAGCAGGCCTTGAGCGACCAGCGCGGCTGCCAGCTGCAGCCGCCGTCGGCGCCGCAAAAGGAGGGGAGCAAGGTGCACAAGAGGCACTCGGCGCCGCCGCTGGTGGGCGCCGCGCTGGTGGGGTCGGACGACGAGATGCCCGACGAGATGCCCGACCCGCGGCGCGCGCTCGACATGAGCGAGGCGGACCCGCACAACGTCAACCAGCTCTCTCTCTCTCCGATGAACATGGCGAGCCCGACCTGTGTCTCGGCCAAGCACGGCCGCACCTCGGCGGCGGCGGAGGCGCAAGAGGAGCGGCGAAAACGGCAGCGCCGCGCGCCCGCGCCGCCCCTCGCCGCCGCCGCCGCCTCCTCCTCCCTCGACGCCGCGATGCGCTCGCCGTCCGACTCGCCGCCGCTGCGCGCAGCTCCGCGCTTTGCAGCGACGCCAGGCTCGAGGGCGACGCCCGGCTCGCCGCTGGTGCCGTCGCCGCCGTCGCGGCAGCGGATGATGCCGCCCTCGCCGCGCGGCGCCCTCGGTCGCGGCATCGGAATCCGAGAGGCTGCGCCAGTCAGCCTCTCGAGGATGAACTCGATCCGCGACACAAAGGCGCTCCTCCCCCGGCCCCGGGCAAATGGTTGGTTTGGATCACGCCCCCTCCCACCTCCAGAATTGGTATTGCCCTGCCCCTTTCGGGTTAGGACCATGAACTTCG